GGCGGCCGGGAGCACCAGTACAGCTCGCTGTCCGCGGCGCGGCCTCTGAACGGGACGTACCACCATCACCACCACCACCCGAGCCCTTACTCCCCCTACGTGGCGCCGCTGACACCTGCCTGGCCCGCAGGACCCTTCGAGACCCCGGTGCTGCACAGCCTGCAGAGCCGCGCGGGAGCACCGCTCCCGGTACCGCGGGGCCCCAGCGCAGGTAAGGAGCGCGCCGCAGTGTCGGGGTGCGGGCTCCGGGCGTGGGAGCGCAGGGGAGGCGCCGGGCGCGGAGCAGCTACTTAACTTGGGGCCTGTGTGTCAGTGCTGTCCTTTGCGGGTGCACAGCGTTCCTCCTTGCCTCAGGAAGGCTCTCCAGGCCCGTGGCAGGATGCTCAGTCTCGCAGCGCTCAGGATTCTGTTCGTTTCCACCAAAGACGGGAATGCGCATTTGTACTTAAGTGCCTTGGGCAAACTAGTGAATGGGGTTTGCGGTTGGCAAAAAGGGAAGTTGGAAGGGAGCTGTCAGCGTCTGAGCCCTGTAGCAGACCCTGGTTTGGGAGCTCGGAAGAGTAAGATTCCACAGTGGGGGTGAGATTGACCCTCTTATCAAACACACAGGGACAAATGTGCACGTGCAGTACTACCCAGTGTAACCTTTCAGAGGTAGTTGAGTATGTTATTCTAAAGGAGGGTATTTTAAAAGAGTTGCACAGCAGTAAATTACCTGGGGACCTAGTGACCTAGTTGGCGTCTTCTTCCAGTAAGAGAGGCAGGAAAAAATTAGGAAGGTCATCAGCCTCCTGCCTTTATCCCAAGAGGAGCTGGATGGGCCGTTGGGCGTGGCATCACCTGGGCCCGGGTCTAGGACTTCAGCTCTAGGCTACCTGGTGTAGCCAGGGGGCGACCTGGGAATCCTGGAACAGCGATAACCTATTCTTCCTTGGGTTTAGCACACCAAGTTTTCAATTTCTGATTCCACTCATACTTTTGCTCCTATATCTGAAGGCCATTTGGAGGCAAACTGGGGAAAACATTATTGTCAAAAAGCAGGGGACTATACCTCATCTTGAAGGTGTTTTGATCTGGTCTAGCTGAGAAGGGTGTGTGTGACCTGTGTGATTTGACTTCTTGTCTCAGCCCCACTATTCAGAGACCTTGGTTCTTTCACTGGCCTCTGTTCTTACTTTATATTTCACCTGTTTGATAATCTCTCCTCTGAGGAAAGTCAACACCTTTTGTTGTTGTTTGTTTGAGTTCATGTGGATGCCCTGGAGTCCCAGGGGTGACAAGGAGGGTGGGACAGCTGTTCTACCCAGTGTCTTATGTGCCCCGGTCCTGGGAGCCTCTCATTATTCTCATTAGGGACAGCAAGCCCTTCTGGGGACCCTGATCACTTAGGATAAAGTGATTGATTTCAAAGGACACAGGAAATACTAGTGGCCCAAGAGCCAAGGAACTGATCTGAAGAGCTCACCTCTAGTAGCATTGGGAGAGGGCAACTGGCTCTTGCTACCAAGCCCTTTATCACTTGTCCAGTAGGCTCCAAGCTTTGGTTTTCTAATTCTTTTTCCTTTCTCCAGAGTTGGCCCTGGAGACCAGCTTTACCTTCTGAAGGACCCTGTTGGGATTTTCCCTGTTGATTTGGGACTTGAGAGTAGAGAGCCCTCCTCGCCCTTCCAGAAGCATAGGGACTCCCAGGAGAAGAGACTAGGATTTGAGGAATCTTCAAAGGATTGGGCATAAGGAAGGGGGATGAGGCATCTATTGTCAGGCAGGGAGTCCTGTAGGGAACCTGGAAGAGAGTGAAATGGATAGGGAGCAGCAGCGGTGTGAGCTCTGCTTGCTTTTTGAGGTACCCTAGGTTGGCTCGAGGAATCTCTGCTACTCTACTCTTCCAGCATTTCACATGACTGAGACAGAGCTAGTCCGAAGTCTTCAGATGTTTACAATAATACCTGGTATGGTACAGTCACAGGAGAGTTCTAAGTTTCTTTTGATCTTAAACGTAGTTCTTCCTTTCTCTCCTTTTTTTTTTTTTAACTTTCTAAGCATATCACCTGCAAAATGAGAAGAATTTTCTGTAGACCCAGAGTATTAAACAACAAACTTGGGAAGGGATTTGGGAACATCCAGCTTTTTCTGTTAAGAAAGCAGGAAGCTACTGGGACTAAGGCAATATGGGGGGAAAACATAATTGTCAAAAAATACTGACTCTGACTTCACTTGTCCGCAGGGTGTTCTGATGCTAGCTACATTTCCTGTTTCTTCATTTTTTTTTAATAAGCCATTTTTGGAGGCAGACTCTTTAATTGATTTGACCAAACACCAGGGCTAAAACCTAACACTGAACTTTATCAACCTGCCCAGTATGGCAGTCTCTGAAACCCCGCTCCATATATCTCTTCCTGGTGGGTGGTGGGTGGCATGGACTCACTCTGGAGGGAGCTCAGCCCTCACAACCCTTCATTTCCTGGGCTTGTGGCCCTCCTGAGCTCCCCCAAACTATGTTCCATTCTCTGTGTCCTGGTCATGCCCTTCTCCCCTGGGTGCATTGTTCTCCAGGGTCACCCCAGTCATGTTAGCAGAGAGAATGATAAGTAAGCGGAAATCGGTGAACAAACTTCCAGCATAATTAGATTTTGTAATTTTTATTTAAAAAAGCATTTTTTCCATCCTAGTGGTTTATAGAGTTGTAGCTGCCGGGTGGGGGATGGTGGAGAGGTGGGGGAGGGAATAGAGATTTTTTTTTTTAAATTAAAAACAAGCAAACTTCTTATATTTTCTTTTTCCTACCTGGACTTTAAATAAAGTTTTATCTCTGGGTAAAGAGGAGTATTCTACCTGGGGAGTTCATACTATCTTTCCCTGGAGGTCTTCATTGTTCCCAGCAGAGGAGAAGGAGACCAGGAATAGGGTTGAGTTTTCCAGGGAATGCCCGCTTCTCTAGGAAGAGGGGCTGTGATAGGTAACATTTTAAAGTCAACAACAAAGACAAATACTTTGTTTAACTTCAGTGTCCTTGAAGTCCTGAGCATTTTACTGATTACCGTAGTCAATAGTGGCTTTTAGGGCGCAGAAGAATAAATCTTTGTGATGTGTTGTAAGTTGCAGTATCCCCATGACAACTTTGAACTCAGGTTGTATAGGATGCTGGTTTCTTTTAAATTTAAGAAATAGCTTAAGAAATGAGGAAGAAGGAGACATACTTGTTTTGCAGGATAAATAGTATTAATAGAATTAAAAGAACTTTTTTTATGCTAAAATTGTATTTAAATATCTTTACAACATAGTTGATAACAGGCACAGCTTTAGCTGCAGCAGAATAGAAAGGTTGGCTAGCACACTTATCTTCAAATAATACTCTCTGTAAGAAATTCAGAAAGGCTCCTTCCAGAATGCCAAATTAGAACATTTAAACTCTTTATGATACGTAGAATCCGAAGCAGCAAGAGACATTTATTTTTGAAAAGTCCTATACTTAATAAATACCTATTTCATTTTAGAGAATTTTTTTATATGTCGTCTTGAGGGGAAGTAACTAATGTTAACAACCATTTATTTTAATTAAGATTCGTTATTAGCAAGGTTAGGTTAATTGTGGATTCCAAAAACAAACCAAATAATGAAATGATGTAAAATAAACATTTTTTCAAGGTTGCATAAATTGACATTTTAGTGCAGGAAAACAGTAGACAATTTATCACTGGGCAGGTCTTAGTAATTTTCTTAATCATTGAGGTATTGCCTTGTGTAAAAAGTTTGCACTAGAAGCACCTAGACCCACTTTGAAATCAGAGTATTTCGATGTCTGGTCCTTGTGTTCTGAAAATAAAATGTAATTTTTGTGCTTGATGTAGTGCTTCTCCCACCCAGAAGACCTGAATAATTTTCTCATTTCTGATTTCTAGGTAATCGATGTAAGTGCCCCCAGATAGTACTTATAATTTCACATGTCTTTTTATTATGAAAAAAAGTCACGTAAGGAAGAATGGCGGAGAGAATACCTTTAAAAATTACTCGAGACAAAAGTAAAAAAGGCTGTGTCCGGGATATCTGTGGGTTGCCGCGGAGGTCGTCGGGCAGTGTTAATCTTGTGGGGCTTGCTCGGGTTTGGCAAGTGGCGTATTTTAATTATGATAGATTTCAGTTTTTGAAAGCTTAGGGAGCATCTGAGAGTAGGGATCAGGGGACACCAGCTGACTTCTAGGCTCGTCTCAGACTCTGAAGTCCTGTCTCTGACTTTCCTGGGGTGCCTGCCGGGGTGAGGGAATAGATGCGAAAGTCCAGGGGCAGATAGATGGTCAGTAGGTGAGTAGCGACAGAATCAGCACCCCGGCTCTGACCTAGAGCTCGGACAGGCAGCGGGCCCCAGCACTGGCCTGAGGGGTGCAGGGGGTGCACCGAATGCCTGTGGGGAGGGGCGGGCCAGGCTCCGGCTCACTAGCCTCCCGTCCCCGGCTCTCGCTGCAGACCTGCTGGAGGACCTGCCCGAGAGCCGCGAGTGCGTGAACTGCGGCTCCATCCAGACGCCGCTGTGGCGGGGCGCGCGCACCGGG